TGCATCCCGGGAAACACCGGGAAATGGAAAACCAGGCACTGATTCCATCCCAGGAAACATCGAGAAAGAACAGTCACCCAGTCATAAATTCCCAGTTATTCCCATTATTCCCAGCAATAAACTCCCAGTTATTCCCGTTACTCCCAGGTATAAATTCCCAGTTTTCCCTGTTACTCACAGCTATCAATTCCCAGTTATAAATTCCCAGTTGTCCCCGCTACCCCCAGCCATCAATTCCCAGTTGTCCCCTCATTCCCAAGGCCGGGCACTGACCTCTGCCGCCGATGCCTCCCCTGGCCATGGCTCCCCGGCCCAGGCCGCCTCTTCCCGGGCCCCCTCGGCCCCTGATCCCTCCTCTCCGCAGGCCCATCCTGGGCGCGATTCCCCTCCCGCCGCGCAGCAGGGCCTGACCTGCGGGGGGCAGACGGAAAATTGGGATTTCAATGTGGAGGAATGGCACGGGAAACCCAGAAAATTGGGATTGCGGTGTGGGGAACCCAGGACATTGGGATTTCGGTGTGGGGAATGGCACAGGGAAACCCAGGACATCCAGGATTTCACATGGGAAACCCAGGACACTGGGATTCCGGTGTGGGGAACCCAAAAGATTGGGATTTCAGCGTGGGGAACCCAGACAATGAGGATTTCAGCCCGGGGAAGGGTGTGCAAGGGGCTGGGGGCTCACGGCAGGGGACTGACCTCGCAGTGCGACCCCTCCTCGCAGCATGGCCCGGGCACCGCGGCCCCTCAGGGCCCCCCTGGGCATCCCCCGCTGGCCCAGGGCCAGCCCCCGGCCCCCCAGGGCTCCTCGGGCCAGCGTCCCTGCTGGCCGGCCCAGCCGTGCCTGGATGTTGCTCTTGCCGAGGCGTTGCTTCAAGCTCTTCTGGAAGAGAAGATTTGGGAAGGGAAAGGAGTCATGCAGCAATCTGGGACTGGGGGGACACGAGACGCTGGGATGGAAATGTTGGATTTAGTGCCCGAGTCCAGGCCTGCATTCCCAATCAATCAGCACGGGAGGGTGGGGTTTTAAATCTGCTGTGGGACTGTGAGGTGAAGCACTCGGCAGCTCCCGGATGCATCCCCGGGATGAGCCATTTCTCTGGAAAAATAGAGAGGAGACATCAACAGCCAGCACCCAACGCACCCACACAACCAGGGAGTCCTCAATGTGTCCCTTGTCCGGGGTTAAATCATGGAATTTCCTCCAAGTCCCTCCCAGGTATCTCATTTTTGGGATCATGGAATGCCCTGAGTTGGGAGGGATCTATCACGATCAGCCAGGCCAACTCCTTGTCCTGCACAGACACCCCAAAATCCCACCCTGGGTATTCCTGGAGCGGTGTCCAAACGCTCCTGGAGCTCTGGCAGCCTCAGGGCAGTGCCCAACACCCTCTGGGGGAAGAGCTTTTCCCTGATCTCCAACCTCAACCCCTGGCACAGCTCCAGCTGCTCCCTGGATCCTGTCCCTGGTCACAGAGGTGCCCGAGGGCCCTCAGCCCCTTCTCCATCCTCGTGTCCCTGCTTTGGACACTCTCCAACACCTTCTTTACAGAACCCCAGGAGTCTCCAGGTTGGAAAAAACCTCCCAGACCACGGAGTCCAGTCTCCACGTTGTCCCCAGCCCAGGGCACTGAGTGCCACTTCCAGCCTTTTTTTCCCGGGATGGCCACTCCAAACCACCCTGGGCAAGGTGGAAAAATTCCTCCTGTGTCCAGCCTGTCAGGGAGTTGTGGAGAACCAAAAATTCCCCCCCTGAACCTCAGCCCCAGCAGCTCCACACACTCACCCTCCATCCCCTTCCCTTCTCTGGCCTCTCTCTCTTCCTGGAGCCGTTTTTTCCACATCCTGCCAGGCCCAAATCCCCTTTTCCCTCACCTGTTTGAGTTTCAGAGCGGCCTGCACAGACGGTCTGTTCTCCATCTGCTGGGCCAGCCGTCTGTTTCGGGCGCTGGCCAGCTGCTGCTGCTGCATGGTGGCCCGGATATTCACCGGCATCGGCTGTTTGTTCTTCAGCATGTTAGTGAAGCTTCAAGGTCGAATAAAACGGGGTTTGATTAAAGCTTAAAACACACAATTATTGCCATTTTCACGGTGCTCGAGTGGGGCTCCAGCTCCCATGAACCTTAATGCAAAGAGTGGCAACTTTATGGGATTTTACGGATCCCTCGCTGGCCGCGAGGACCGGACAGGCAGGAATGAGGTGGAAGTTTTCCAGTGGGAATGAGGAAAAGCTGGAGGTTAGTGGGGTTTAGAGATGGCAGAAGGAGGAGGGGGCGGGGGTGACAACCAGCAGGAAGCAGGGATGGTCGTGATAGGGAAGGAGGAAACAGGACAGCAAAAGCCAAATCAACCCCCTCCCCAAAAAAATAAAAAATGTGGGAAAAAAAAAAAAAGGCAAAATTCCAGGCTGGAGGTAGGCTGGGAAAACACCACGCTCGGTGGCTGGGTTGGAAGAAATCATCTTAAATCCTTTTCCAACCTTAGGAATTCCAGGATCCTACAAAATTCCGCCACCCAGAGCATCTCCTGAATTCTGTTCTCCTCAAACGAGGCCGCCGGGGAATCCATTTGGTGTTTTTATTTCTCCATCCAACAGCAAAGATGATAAATAAAGCTCCTGAGCAGCACCCCGGGAGCTGGCGAGCAAAACCCACCCTTTAAAAACCAGGATTTTGGGCTGAGAGCCAACAAGGTGTCCCCTGAGCTCAGGCCACACCTCCCTGCAGCACTGCTGGAGTAAAAATCGCCCCATCCTGGCGTGTTTAACCCCAAAAAGCTCAGCAGGAGAGCGGGAAACACCCGTTAGTGGTCACAGAGGAGTGGGGGAAAAAACCCAGGAGGAGGCAGGGGAAGAGCTGGAGGACAGAGAGGGATGGAGGTGAAGCGAAGCTGTTGCCTCTTACAAGGCCCAGCAGAGCCTTCGGGCCGGTTCCGGGGCCGCCGCCGGCCTCTTACAGAGCTCACCTGGACAGGTGAGACCCTCGGGCGCGGCAGCAGAGCCCAAAATACCGATGTCAAAACATGTGGGAGAGACAGGGAGGGTGTGAGGTTGGTCTCTGCTCTTACAACGCATCCCACCGGATTTTTTTTTTTTTTTACTAAGAACAACGGAGACTCCTCCGGAATTTCGGCCCTTTTAACCCTTGCCGTGCCGCAGGGGTGTCGGAGGGTAAGGCGTGGGGTGTGTGGAGGCACCCGCTCGCTCGACGAGGTTAAAAGAGGGCGGAAACCGCGGCGGGTTTTGGATTTTGGATAGTGAGAATTAAGTTTATATATTTAAAAAAAAAAAAAAAAATTAAAAAAAAAAATATATATGATTTCTTAGGAGCTGAAGGTGCCGTTGGCTTCCTCACCGCTCGTTCAGAGACATCTTGGTGGTGCTCTTTAGCACGACCTTCGGTGCTGACTGTGCAGCCATCTTCAGAGAATCTGCAAAACAGGGCCCAAAAGAGACAACTCAGACTTGTATTACATATTTATACCGCTAAATACTAAAAATCCCTTCTTTTCTGCCTCCCTGGGTGGAAGAAATCAAGATTAGGGCAGGTTATGAGTAATATATTCATTTATTTTCAGTGGTTTTTAGCCCCCTTGCCAGAATTTTTCGGTTCTGATTCTGGGATTTTTTAATGTTTTTTAGTCCTCTCCTAATTTTAATACATCATGGAGTTCCTTTACTTCTCCCCTACCAAAAAATTTATCTTTTTACAGTAAATGTTTCAGCAATATTAAGAGGAATAATGCAAAACTCCAGCAGCAAGATGGCAACTGAATGCCATCTTCAGAGCAAAGATGCAAAACAGAACCAAAGACATCAAATTTATACCATTATTATATGTTTGTATGATTAAACATTAAAAAAAACCTCTGTTCTGTGTGGAGAGAACTAAGAGTGAGGCAGGTCATAGACATTGTATTTATCTATTTTTAATGTTTTCTAGCCCTCTACCAGGTTTAATAAATACGGGAGTTACTTGAATTTCCCTTTAGTAAAAAATTATCTGTTTACGGCCAATGTCTTATCGGTTTTTTGAGTCATAACGCAAAAAATCCAGCTGTAAACAGCTTAGCACAGCGACACCTCCACATTTCCCATGTTCTTACCACGACCGAGGTGCAAACCCCAATTCTGAGGGAATAAAAATCCAAGATGATGCTACAAAAAGCACCGTATCCTTTAAAAACATGGAGGCTCCACCTCCCTCAGGGCAGGGATTTAAATCCCCCCTCCAGTGCTGGATGCTACAGAAACATGCTGAGTTCCAACCCCCGAGCTCTGCAGATCGATTTATTAATTTAATTTATAATTAGCAGCAAATTTAACGGGTGATGACGGCCGGGATGCGCTCACTCTATAATACCCTCAAAAAACCGCTTTACTGAGGGGATATACAGGCAGGAACTGAGACAACAGAAAGCTTTATTCTTGTTTTAAACTACTTATAATTTTATTTTAATATGGGGCGTCTTTTCCAAGTTGAAGTGATTTTTAAAGAGGATTTCTTCCTGAAGAAAAAAAGAAAAAAAAAAATCACTCCGCCTCCGGTTCCGGAGCTCGGTCAGGGGGGAAAAGTCGCGACGCTGAGGGAACAGCCCTGGGCCATGAGGGATTTATGAGGGGACACCCCCCGGGCCATGAGGGATTCATGAGGGGACACCCCCCGGGCCATGAGGGATTTATGAGGGGACACTCCCCAAGCCATGAGGGCTTCATGAGGGGACACCCCCCGGGCCATGAGGGATTTATGAGGGGACACCCCCCGGGCCATGAGGGATTCATGAGGGGTTCATGAAGGGATCATGAGTGGATCATGAGAAGGATTATGAAGGGACCCCCTGAGCCCTCAAGAGCGCCCCCCCCGGCACCCCAGCCCCGCTCAGCCGGGCCGCTCACTCACCGAAGCACACGGTCGCCAGGTCTCCGGTGGCTCCGGCGGGCGGGCGGGTGAGTGCGGGGCCGGTGTGGGGCCGGCGCGGGGCCGGGGCCGGGGCTGGCGCTGAGCTCCGCCCGCTCCCGCCGCCGCCGCCGCCGCTTCTCCCTCAGCCGCCCCGCGACAAAATGGCGCCGGCGACGCTCCCGCCCCCGCCGAAATGGCGGCCGCTCACTCGGCCACGCCCACCCCTGCGCGAGCCCCCCCCTCGGTGAGCGGTGATTGGTGCGGATCCGGAGGGGGCGGGGAAAGGGGCGGGGCGTGAGGAGAGGCGGGAACTGCTGGAGGGACTTGGGGGTGGAGTTCTGGTGACGTCACGGGAAGCGGTGTCGTCGTGAGACCGTCATGGAATCGTCATGGAATCGTCATGGAATCGTCATGGAATCGTCATGGAATCGTCATGGAACCGTGGGACCGGGGAGTCGTGGGATCAAGGGACCCCGGAGCCGTGGAACTGTGGAATCAGGGGGTCACACGATGGTGGAACGCCCGAATTTCACGGAATTGCAGAGCTGTGAATTCCGTGTCGGCTTTATCAGCTCCGCGGTCAATTCTGTTGTCATAGAATCACAGAATCACAAAATACTGGATCGTGGAATTGCATAGCATCCAGGGGTTGTGGGGTTGGAAGGGATCTGCAGGGACCGTGGAGTCCAACCCCTGGCCCTGCCCAGGACATTCCCAGTGTCCCACCATGTCCCGGGAATGTCCCAGCCGCCCCTTGACCCCTTCCCCGTGCCCCACCACCCCCTGGCAGCAGCCCTGTGTCCCGGTGCCCATCCCAGCCCATCCCAGCCGGGATGGCAGGCGGATGATGGCGCTGGTGGCCCTGGTGGGGCTCTTGGCCACCGTCCCATCCCACTGGGCCAGGAGATCCCAACCGGTTCCTCCAGCCCCGCGGGCGCGGTGCCGGCGCCTCTGGAGCCACCTGCAGCGAGTCCCAGCCTGTCCCCCCCCACTTCCCAAATCCCGGTGCTCCTGCACCCCATAACCCGACACCGAGTCCTGGCCTGTCCCCCTCCTTCCCAAATCCTGGTGCTCCCGTGTCCCACACCCCGACACCGGGATCGCCTGCCCTGGGGTCACCCTGCCCCAGGTGATCTGGGTGGATCCCAGGGTGGATCCCAGAGGTGTCTCCAGGCACTTGGGGTGACCCAGGGTGGCTTTTCCCCGTGACCCCAGAGTGGGAACGTTTGCAGGGGGGACGGGGTGGGAATCCCAAATGAAGGAGCTGACAACACCCCTCGGGCTGGGTCGGTGCCTTTATTGTGGAGCTGGATCCCAGCGGGATCCCCTGGGAATGCCGGGGAGCAGAGGGGGTGAGCTGAGGGGTGGCAGTGGGGGGCTCTGGATTTTGGGAACCCACGTCCCGCTGCGGCAGGAGGAGGGGTCAGGCGTTCTCCCAGAAGAAATTGTTGCAGGCCACGGTCAGGGCGGCCACCAGGACCACGAATTCCTGGAAATCCACCTCCCCGTCGCCGTTCTCATCCAGATCCTGCATGATCTTCTCCACGGCCCCCGCGTCCTTCTGGGTCTGGGGAGGGGGCACAGGGTGAGCCCTGGGGCTGGGCAGCCGCTGCTCCCCCAGGGAATGGCGGAAAAGGAGACCCCAAAGCCCCAAACTGGTCCCAGTTACCTCCAGGAAACATCCCAGCTCGCTCTGCAGCAGCTCCTTGAGCTCCTTCTTGCTCAGCTTGTACTTGTCCCCCTCCTTGCCCGAGTAGTGGTGGAAGACATTGATCAGGGTCTCCATGGCCCCTTCCAGCTGCGATCCCATGGCTGCGGCTGCGGGACCCCCGGCACGTCACCCACCAGCCCCCCCGGCTCGGTGCCACCCCCCAAGTATCACCCACCCCCCAAATGTCACCCATCCCGCTGGGCAGGACTGGGGGGATTTGGGGGGCGCGGGGGTTCCCAGGGGTGAGGGGGGGTCCGGGGTGTGGGGACAGAGGCACCTGCGCTCACCTGAGCTCCCCGTGCTCCGAATGCGCCCGCCCGGCCTGGCCGGGCACGTTAAATAAGCTCCAAGCCCCCTCCCTCCGGGAGGATCCGATACCGGGGCTGGACAGCCCGGCTGGCACCGCCGGCCACCCCCGCTGGGGGCCGGGCTTGGGGGGCAGAACCCTCGGGGTGACCCCGGGCAGCACCCCCAGATGCCGTGGGCAGGGATAGGGGTGACAGCGTCACTTCAGGGGGACTCCCCGTGCCACCCCCGAGTGCCCCCCGCCACCCCCGGCATGCTCAAAAACCGCGGGGATTTGGGAGGGTCCCACCGGGGACCCTCGCTGGGGTCACTCCCTGCTGGTGGCCCAAAGGACCCCCCCCCAGGTGGCCGCGGTGGCCACGCCGTGACCCCGCGGTGTCACCGCCGGCATCCCCCATCTGTCAGCGCCACATCCTCGGCACCGGAACCGTGGCCAGCCCCGCTGATCCCGGGGCTCTTTGGGGTATCCGGTGTCCCCGAGCTGGCCACGGCGGCCAGCGGGGCCCGGGGGGAGCTGCGGGGGCTATCGGGTGACTCCGCGGGCCCCCCGAGCGCTCAAAGGGCTCTTGTCCGGCTCAAAAGGCTCCACAATCCCGAGCTGGACGTTGCTGCAGCAACGCCTCGGCCAAGAAACCGGAGCCCGAGCTGGCCTGGGTGATGCTGATAATCGCCAGGATCCCGTTACGGGCCCGGATCCGAGCGGGCTGGACCCGGCTCCGGCATCCCTGGGGAGTTCAGATCCCCAAATTCCTCATTCTCCCCAATTCTTCATTCCCCTAAATTCCTCGGCCCCCAAAAATTCCTCATTCCCCTAAATTCCTCAGCCCCC